GTTTAAACGTCACTTAATGTATGTGTATTTAGTCAGAAGACACGGTAGTGTCTTGGGTGTCAAGTCAACCGAGAACACTACCGTGTTGATTTTTCATACCTGACTCCATCGTTTTCTATGCCTAATCTGTTTTTATCCTTCAAATGAACTATCAATTAGTTTTTCCCGGCAACGTCCACATAAGACGACCTCCGTAAGGCGTTGGGTATTTAATAGGTGGTGACGAACGCATGCACAAGTTTTCAACACTTTTTTGGACCGTTTCCACTAACGTAATCACGTATTGATTGACTTGTGTCTCGTTTTCGTCGTGATCGCACAAGTCAATGCAACCGTGCATGCAGCAAAATGCATCATCGAAGAAAATATGCGCTATCAAAAATATATAACATTCATTCGACAAACATATTTTTTTATTACAACTATTTGTGTAATTAAATTAACTTACTTTCCAGTTCATAATAATCCTCAACATGAATTTTGTAATATTTTTGCGTAACGCGTATCGCACATTGGTCCTTGTCCAATCGCAAAATACTACTCACTAAATGATTCATCTCATTTTTTTCTTCGTGCCACATTGTAGCACACGCATAGATTTTTGTGATTCGATCTTTATGTTTATCAATTGCAATATCCAAATTATCTCTATTGAAATCTTGTTCAATTTTTTCAATATCTAAACTAATATCGGTAGCTTCTAATCTTAGATTATCCTAAAAATTTAATCAACTATAATAATAACAGTAATTGCCGTAATAAACAAATAAATAAATAAATAATAGATAATGGACTCTTTAGAATCAATCAATTAGAATCAAAATCAATAAACTAAAAAGGAGACAAAAAGTCAAGCACGATACTTTTTTATGCTAAGTTTAGGATTTGGTTAAAGTCGATAACTGTTGTAAACGATATATCTTCTTTATGAATTGAGTTGTCCTGATCACAAAAATAACTTGATGTTTTTTAATTTTTTTATAAATTTCAGTACAATTATAATGTAATTACCTTTGAAAATGATTAAAAAAATAAAATGTTTAAGACTTTTTTATGTACATTAACTATTGTTGCTATTAATTATTGTATATTGAATGTGATCATATTTATATAAACTTAGCACAATAAAATACCATGAATAAATAAATAAATAAATCGTTTAATTTTTTACTGGAAATTGAACATCTTTGCTTTTCTTCTCATGATCTTGATCAACATTTTCATTCTGCGTTTTTTTATTTAAAGCTAAACATTGATCAATCATAAGCGAATCATAAGTGATGGTGGAGAAGATTCTTTCCGCTAATGCTAGTCTTTCGTTTTCAGTGGTCCACAAGTGCATTGTGATCCATATTTGTGATATCAGCCATGTCAACCAAAACCAAATATACCAATTAGAAAAAAATTCGCTCCAATTTTCAAACAAGGTTTCCTTAAAGAAAAAATTGTCGAAAAAGGCATAGATAGTTTTGTTCCTGATAGTGCATAATGTCATAATCGAACATATTGTTCCCAGACTAACGAGATTTGTTGGAAGTGCGAAACCAAACTGATGCATATGAGTTCTGTACGCGAATTTGCCTAAAATTGTTGAAAAATTCAAAGTCAATAAAGTTCGTGAATTGAGGAAAAAAATGCAAGTTTTTAAAATATTTAAATTATTCACTTAAAAAGCTACTTACTGATAAAATAATAAAATAATAATTAATAAAAAAATTGCCAGGAAATATCATTTTAATAAAGAGAATTTTAAGCTATAAAGTATATAGTAAAATTGTATAAGTTGGGCGACCTCATGGATTTTAATGATCTTGACATATATTGACAAGGACATCATCCTGAATAATAATTCAAAGGTTTTAGTCATCGCTCACTGTTTATTAAAAAGTTAACAAATAAACTTGAGAATATAAATGTGTATAACTTAATAATTTAAACTTTAATTAGTATAATATTTCAGTATATGTATATTTTTATTTTAATTACAAGTTTACAACTTTTAATTAAAAGTTTAGGCGGAGAAGATTGACTTTTCTTGGCACTCATTTTTTAAAATGTTATAAACAAAACAAATCATAAGCCATTTTATCTAATATTAAACATATAGATTTGAGTTAAACTTTACGTAGAAAGTTGTAAACCCATGTGGAACCTCGATATTATATTCCATCCCTCCTACGGGGAACCACTACCAAAAGATCTAATCTAATCTAACTCATATCATAATGATAGATAGGGAGGCGATGTGTAGCTCAGTGCTTAACACGTTCGACTCATAATCGAAGGATAACAATGATAGATAAATATCATTGTATACCACATCATCATTGTGATATTTAACTACCACCTGTGGAAGGGGGAACACATTGTTTTTACGCATACACTTTTTAACAAAGTGAGGTTCCATATGAGTTTACAATTTTTTACAATGATTTTTAATTATCATTGTAATACGAATTGTGAGATTAAATCTTTTGATAGTGGAGCTTCCCCATAGGGGGAAGGGGGGGAGGGACGGAACACACTGTCTCCATGCATATACTTTTTAATACGAAACAAGATTCCACATTTACAACTTTGTATATAAAGTTGAACTCAAATGTATATATATATGTATATATATATACTTCTTTTGTTAATAAACATATATGTCATGACAATATATGTAAGGTCGTTCAACTTATGCAGTTTTATCAAGTATATATCGTATAACATATAGTATATGTATACATTTAACTATCTGAACTTACAAGCTTGATACATTATCATGGCACAGACAGCTTGAATTATCAAGATATAAAGAGATGTAGAGTTAAATTTTGGTGTGAAAAAACTCTTGACATCTATTCCTTCACATATATTAGTGACAAGAGCACCTGTGATAAAAATAAATATCCTCCAAAAGGATACATATCCTTGTATGAAATATTGACTTGGTTGAAGGTTTTCTTTCGCATGAAATAAAATCGTATCAGACCTGTTTATTGAAAAATGATGATTTTTATTTTATTTATTTTTTAAATTTATTTTACTTTATTTTATTTACGTATTTTTATTTTTTTATTTTCTTAAAATTAACTACCTTCTTTTTATACAGTGTATATACATAACCATACACACACACACACACACAC